CTTCATTTGGATGGAAGGGGGTTGTTTGGTCATGTTTAAACATGGCAGCAGCAACAAGCGTAGTCCTATCCGCGGTGAATAACTCGCCGGCGGTTAGCTGCGGCCTCCTCGAGCCCAACTTTACGATGCGGGTTAAGGACCTGAACACTGCAGGAAAGGCAATTTTCGTCGAAAGTGCCCAGTTTGAGCTCCATTTTCTGAATGCTGGGCCTGAAAGCAACAAGTTGTATATTGTTATTGAGGGCAGCGAGACCGCGCTCAGCATCCTCACGGGGACAAACCCAGAGGTCAGGTACCTCATCAAAGTTATAAACCATACTCTGGCCAACACCGGTCATGACGGTATAGTCTTCAGTTACGTGTGGGCTCAGAGCCGAGTTCAGGTCAGGGCGCCGGCTGGTAAGACCTTGAAGATGAAAAAGATAGCCCACCCCTCATCCTTGGTTTAGGCGAGATTGCGGCAGGTAAATCGTGAGATGCCGCAGGTGGCTCCTCCGGAATCGTGAAAACCCTTCCTTATGCAGTAGGACTAAGCGCGTGTCGGCGGACAGTCCTCCTTTACACGGATCTGATTTACCCCGTATCACGTATCGCGTATCACGCTAATGATTGGTCTTCCGGAGGAGCTTTGGTTTGCCTGCCATGGTGTTGCTTCAGCAGCTCGCCACGATCTCAGGGGTCAAGGTCTGCAAATGAGAGGTTTCCCTCTTCAGGGGCTCGGCGATATTGCCGATGTCTCGCTGGAGGGATGGAAAGCAATGTCTCGGGAAGCGTTCGTCGACATGGGAAAAAAGAACCCACCGTACGCGGTGCGGGCAAAGGGCGGCATTGCTCATTGCGGTCGCTTCCCACTTACAGTAGAGGCGCTCCAACACCTCGAGAATGTGTACCGGCGCATCATTGAGAACTGATTAACGCTGGAAGGCACGCTTTTTGTGCCTTTGAAAGGGGGCACCACTGGCTAACTGTTTGTTGTACTGGAATGCATGTGCTTGTCTTCGATAGCTTTGGACGTGCGTTGGTAGAATTAGATGAAGCATATACAGAGCGCAAATATTTTCTGGAGGCCTTTCCCGAGCGGGTCATGGTTACGAAAATGTTTGTAGTGCAGAATGGAGCAACGGCTATCTGCGGGCGTCATGCTGTCCTGGCAGGGCAGCTGTTTATAGAAGAGGGCTCTGTAGAGGGGATTTTAAAAAGATTAAAGGGGGTGTTCGGCAAAGACATTCTAGCTAATGATTAGAAGGTGCTCGACCTTGTGCCTCTGACCACTGATTCTGCCCCTGACGATTTCGAAACTGAAGAGAAGTTGCCTACGACACGTAGTATCAAAGCCGTCGTCCCGACAAAGCATGGTCACGTTTCTACCAAACGGACGGACGGAAACGTTGAGGAATGCCTTGCAGAGGCGTACTACAGTCCTGCGGGGTACTGGCGCAGCCGTGTTGCTATCCCAAACCTGGCTAAAGAGGCTGGCGTCGGCAAGGATGGGGCCCATGAATGGCTAATAAAACAGGCCATCTGGCAGATCTACTTGCCTGCACCAGCGCAAAGTGCTATCCCCCGACCTAAGTTTGACATCAGCACCCCGAATGAGGTCCACCAGGCCGATTTCTTGTTTTTGCCTCACGATATAGTTGTAAGACACACATTCAAATATGCATTGACGGTCGTCGACGTAGCAAGTCAGTATAAGGAGGCCCAGGCAATCACAGACAAGATAGCGACCCAGGTTGGGAAGGCGTTAGAGTCTATTGATGCCCGTGTGCCTATTTGCCTAAAGTTTTACTAGTCTACCCTGGCTCGGAATTCAGCGGGGCTGTGCAAAAAGCGTGTGATAAAAATGGTGTCACGTTTCGAAGGGTAAGGTCGGGGTTCATAGAGGTCAGGGGATTATAGAAAGATTTAATCGAACTTTAGCGGAGCGATTTTTAGGCTTCCAGTATCATCATGAGCTGGCTGAGCCCGGAATTCGGAACAAAGAATGGGTATCAAGATTACCTGAGGTGGTTAAAACGCTCAATAATGAATCTACTCGTTTGACAGGTAAAAAGCCCTCCATTGCGATTCGGAAGAAGAGCGTTAAGGCCAAACCTGCTGCGCAGGCGCTTCGTTCATTTGGTTTCAAAGAGCGACGCTTACCATCGGATCTTATGATGCGGGATTTGTATGCGCCTGGCGAAGACCGAACGGCATAGGGCGACCGGCGTAGGGCGACCAACGTAGGACGACCGATCCTATCTGGAGTGTGACCTTTCACCAGGTCGAGCGGGCTGTAGTTGAGGGCGGGAAACCCGTGTTCTATTATTTGAGCGATGGGCCCAAGCGCGCGTTTGTGCGCGAGGAGCTCCAAGTGGTGCCCTTTGGGACCGAAACACCGCCGGCTTAGTCGATAGGGTCCTGTCACGCTGTTATTTGCTGTCGCGTTTTTTGTTTGCTGTCACGGTTTTTATAACAGCAAAGCTTTCACTATCACGCTCGCTCCTGGTACTACGCGCACGGAGCCTTGCGCTTAGAGGTGGAGCAGCTCTTCTATGAAGCATCAAATTCTTCTCCTGTGACACCGGCTTCCCTACGCCCGTTTGCTAGGATAGAGATCCCATCGGCCGCGATCCACCGCTTCGTGTTCAGCGGACTCAACGATGTCTTTTTGACATGCTTGCCAAAGATCTGATGCCCACGACTGCCCAACATATCCATACCTTGGCGGAAGCGCTTTTCTTTGAAGAGCGCCTCTTTGTACTGGGCATGACGGATATGGTTTTTGAAAACAGCCTTTTTGACGGCCTTGGCTTTGCGCTCCTCGAGACCATCGGCTTTCAGGATAGAGTACATCTTAAGCCTGGGCCCCACAAACTCAGCGATAGGCACCTCAGCGCCTTCATTTTCCCCGACACCTACTTGTTATCCGTGCTGAAGAGCGGATGGTCTTTGGGGTAGTTGCTGGTGTCGTACTAACTGGCGTTGCTCCTCTTGTCGGCGTACACGTCCTCAGTCTGGATCTCCAGCACAAGGCTGTCAGTGTCGGTGTAGAGAAGCTCTGCAGCTGGCCCGTACTGCGCCTTGAGATGGTTGTAGTACCAGTCGTACATCAGATGCTTCGAGAGGTTGAGAATGCTCATACCCACGAAGAGCGACCTGTGGAGCAGCAGACTGTTTTTATTAATGTGAACGGCTGCTAGGTCTCCCGCATCACCAAAGATGATATGCTGATTGTATGTCGGCTTGGCGATAAGTTTGCGGAGTCTCTCATCCTCGCTTGGCCGGAGGAGCTTCACATCAACACGCTTTCGGAGGTTCTCCATCGTCTTGCCGAAGACGCTGTTGTTCAGCAGCTAGTAAACGTTGACCTCAAAGTCACTTTTCGCCTTCTTCCGGAGTTCGGTGTTTTTCCGGATGTAGGGCTCCATCCAATGTCTCTGGACGAAGCTTATCATAAACCCCATTCTCCCCGTAGGCTCAACAAAGGATAATTTCTGCCTGTTTTCCAACCCTACACTTACGACATTGTTGTGGAAGTCACCTGCCTTCCCTTAATCGCCTTATATTAAGTCTGCAGTTTTCACCTATGTAGCTTCAGCCACATGTGGTGAGCTATCCGGGTAATAACCATGCACCCTTGTTCTTGCCCTGCCCCATGGCTGTCGAACGTTAGGATATACTCTATGCGAGAATATCTCTCTAACTAATAGACCCCCGAAGACAGGCGCGCGGGGCGCTGGGGGTGGGCCGCCCAACTTTGGCTCTGCCGTTGTCCACGGTTTGGCCTTTGCAATCCGGTGCGATTCTTCGTCCTAGACTTATGTATGCGGGCTACCAGTCTGGGGTGTGCCAAAACTGGCAGTTTTTCTAATACTCCATCAATATTTGTCAACGTTTAAATCATGAAAGTCGAACTTTGTCCATATAGCTAGTGTAATTATTTATTTAGCGACATAAAAGTTTTACTTTGTGGATATTTTTTGCAACTTAGAAATGCCTTAATAGAACAGCTTCATAATGTCATTCAATTACGAAAAAAGTTTGTATATCTTTTATACTTCCACGCATCTTAAATGCAAATGAATGTAAAGAAACAGTAAAATACTACAAATATATAAAACATAAAATGTAAATTAGTAAAGATTTTTCTGTCTATAAAGAGTCCTATATTCTTGCAAAATCTTATTACCGATTCGTTAAAAATATTATTAACAAATAAAGCCGTAGCTAGAGCTATATGCTTCACAAAACTCGGTGGTTTCCAGAGAAAAAACCTCGGTCTTTTTTTACATAAAATAAAATTTTGACGAAGCGACAACGACAACAAACTTCCTCGTGCCAATCCAGAACACGGTCAAACTTCTAACTCGTACTTGAATTACGTCGCACTGTATATTAATACACACTTACTAAAGCTCACTATTGACGCTAGAACATCGCATTAAACACTACTTAAAAGTGTATTATTAACACATAGAACATGCTGAGCTAACTGCGTCAAAATAGCAGAGTGGGAATAAACAAAGTTATACCAGATTTTCATTTTCTTTCCACCAGTACAAGATTCAAATACCAGATAGGAATGATGGCGAATAATGTTTACCAACGTAGATTTTTTAATGATTTAGTTTCACGACTTTTTAACAATCAAAAATATACGTCATGGGTGGAACAAGTTATTCAATTCAATTTGACATCAAAATGCTTCCTATGGCCATGAAATATTGGCGTTTTTGTCCTATTGAAAACTGTCCGTGAAAGAATGTAATATGTCGTATCGTCGCACATATTATCGGGCTTCACTTTTGTGATACATAAAGAAGCTATATAACCAGTCTATTATCAGACCAGAGAGTTAACTGTGATTTTGCTTTAAAATTGTTTCAGAATTGTCAAGGCTGGAAACAGACGGTAAACTTTAAAAATTAAAATAACATGAATAAAAACAAAGTAAATTTATATATTGTGTGTACTTGTTTATAATAAAAAGTACATGAACTTTGATAATTTTTTTCTAGCGGTGGAAATGTCAGAAAGATAATGAGATCCATTTCCAAATATTTTAAATTCAAAAAAGATTCACAAAAGCGAAATGAAGCTAAGATATCAAATGAACTTGGCATAGAGTATTACAAAATTGGAAAATACGAAAAAGCTACGGAATTTTTTGAGAAATGTCTCGAAATTCAAAAAACTTTACTAGGTCCTGATCATGTTGATGTAGCTAAGATTTTAAACTCTCTTGCCATTGTGTACAGTAGTGCTAAAGAATATGACAAAGCCAAAGAATGTTATGAAAACGCGTTGGAAATTCGAAAAAAATCACTTGGTCCTACACATGTTGATGTGGCTACGACTTTAAACAATCTTGGTAATGTATATTATGAGACCAAAAAACATGCCAAAGCCAAAGAGTGTTATGAAAAAGCGTTGGAAATTCGACAAAAATCACTCGGTCCAGAACATTTTGATGTAGCTAGGACTTTTTATGATCTTGGTAACGTGTACCATTATACTAAAGAATATGACAAAGCAAGACAGTTTCTCGAAACAGCGTTGGAAATTGAACAAAAATCACTAGGTCCTGAACATGTTGATGTAGCTACAACTTTAAACGATCTTGGTAATGTGTATTATAATACTAACAAATATGCCAAAGCCAAAGAGTGTTATGAAAAAGCGTTGGAAATTCGACAAAACTCACTTGGTCCAGAACATGTGCATGTAGCTACGACTTTAAACAATCTTGGCAATATGTACCGTTGTTCTAAAGAATATGACAAAGCCAAAGAGTGTTATGAAAAAGCGTTGGAAATTCGACAAAAATCTCTTGGTCCTGAACATGTTGATGTAGCTACGACTTTAAACAATCTTGGTGATGTGTATTATGAGACCAACAAACATGCCAAAGCCAAAGAGTGTTATGAAAAAGCGTTGGAAATTCATCAAAAATCACTCGGTCCAGAACATTTTGAGGTAGCTATGACTTTTTATAATCTTGGTAACGTGTACCATTATACTAAAGAATATGACAAAGCAAGAAAATTTTTTGAAAAAGCGTTGGAATATGAACAGAAATCACTAGGTACTGAGCATGTTGATGTAGCTGTGACTTTAAGCTGTCTTGGCAATGCGTACCATTGTACTAAAGATTATAACAAAGCAAGAGAACTTCTTGAAAAAGCGTTGGAAATTCAACAAAAATCACTGGATCCTGAACATGTTGATGTTGGTACGACTATTTATTATCTTGGTAAGGTGTACCTTTATACTAAAGAATATGACAAAGCAAGAGAATTTCTCGAAAAATCGTTGGAAATTTATCAAAAATCACTAGGTCCTGAACATGTTTATGTAGCTAGGCCTTTTCATAATCTTGGTAAAATGTACTTTTATACTAAAGAGTATGACAAAGCAAGAGAATTTCTGGAAAAAGCCTTGGAACTTGAACAAAAATCACTACATCCTAAACATGTTGATATAGCTACGATTTTAAACTCTCTTGGTAATTTGTATTATGAGATCAACAAATATGCCAAAGCCAAAGAGTGTTATGTAAAATCGTTGGAAATTCGACTAAAATCACTTGGTCCTGAACATGTTGATGTAGCTACGAGTTTAAACAATCTTGGCAATGTTTACCTTGGTACTAAAGAATATGACAAAGCAAGAGAATATCTCGAAAAAGCGTTGCAAATTGCACAAAAATCACTTGGTCCTGAACATGTTGATGTAGTTACGACTTTAAACTCTCTTGGTAACGTGTATTATGAGACCAACAAACATGCCAAAGCCAAAGAGTGTTATGGAAAATCGTTGGAAATTGCACAAAAATCACTAGGTCCTGAACATGTTGATGTAGCTACAACTTTAAACTCTCTTGGTAATGTGTACCTTTATACTAAAGAATATGACAAAGCAAGAGAATTTCTCGAAAAAGCGTTGAAAATTGAACAAAAATCACTACGTCCTGCTCCTGTTAATGTGGCTAAGACTTTAAACTCTCTTGGTAATGTGTACTATGGTACTAAAGATTATAACAAAGCAAGAGAATTTCTCGAAAAAGCGTTGGAAATTGAACAAAAATCACTGGATTCTGAACATGTTGATGTTGGTACGACTATTTATAATCTTGGTAAGGTGTACCTTTATACTAAAGAATATGACAAAGCCAGAGAATTTCTCGAAAAATCGTTGGAAATTTATCAAAAATCACTTGGTCCTGAACATGTTTATGTAGCTAAGCCTTTTTATAATCTTGGTAAAATGTACTTTTATACTAAGGAGTATGACAAAGCAAGAGAATTTCTGGAAAAAGCCTTGGAAATTGAACAAAAATCACTAGGTCCTGAAAATGTTGATATAGCTATGATTTCAAACTCTCTTGGTAATGTGTATTATGAGACCAACAAACATGCCAAAGCCAAAGATTGTTATGAAAAAGCGTTGGAAATTCGACTAAAATCACTTGGTCTTGAACATGTTGATGTAGCTTCGACTTTAAGCAATCTAGGCAAAGTGTACCATCGTACTAAAGAATATGAGAAAGAAAAAGAATTTCACGAAAAAGCGTTGGAAATTCGACAAAATTTACTAGGTCCTGAACATGTTAAAGTGGCTACGACTTTAAACAACCTTGGCAATGTGTACCATGGCACTAAAGAATATGACAAAGCAAAAGAATTTCTCGAAAAAGCGTTGGAAATAACACAAAAATCACTATTTCCTGAACATGTTGATGTAGTTACGACTTTAAACTCTCTTGGTAACGTGTATTATGAGACCAACAAACATGCCAAAGCCAAAGAGTGTTATGAAAAATCGTTGGAAATTGCACAAAAATCACTAGGTCCTGAGCATGCTGATGTAGCTACGACTTTAAACTCTCTGGGTAATGTGTATTATAAGACTAAAAAACATGCGAAAGCCAAAGAGTGTTATGAAAAATCGTTGGAAATTGCACAAAAGTCACTAGGTCCTGAACATGTTGATGTAGCTACGACTTTAAATTCTCTGGGTAATGTGTATTATAAGACCAACAAACATGGCAAAGCCAAAGAGTGTTATGAAAAAGCGTTGGAAATTCAACAAAAATCACTCGGTCCAGAACATTTTGATGTAGCTACGACTTTAAATTCTCTTGGTAATGTGTACCTTTATGCTAAAGAATATGACAAAGCAAGAGAATTTCTCGAAAAAGTGTTGAACGTTGAACAAAAATCGCTTGGTCCAGAACATGTTGATGTAGCTACGACTTTAAACTCTCTGGGTAATGTCTATTATAAAACCAACAAACGTGCCAAAGCCAAAATGTGTTATAAAAGAGCGTTGGAAATTCGACTAAAATCACTTGGTCTTGAACATGTTGATGTAGCTACGACTTTAAGCAATCTAGGCAAAGTGTACCATCGTACTAAAGAAAATGACAAGGCAAAAGAATTTGATGAAAGAGCGCAGGCAATTAAAAGAAAATCAGTTTCTTCTGATCATGTTGTTGTTACTGTATCTTCGAACAGTATTGGTATGTTATTTTTGTTTATGTATTTTATAGCATATATAAGCGTTTTTTAGTGTAACTTATGAGGTTTTTAAAAAATTTCAGACTAAATTTTTCAAGTCTTTTGTGTTTACAAATCTTGAATTCTTTTGTATTAAGTTTGGCTAGATCTGAACAGAAAAAAAATTTTGAGGAAAATTTATAAAATTAGTTAAAGCTGTTTTTAGTGAAACTGAGATTCATTTGGAGAAATGATCATATGAATCTCAGTTTTTAGTGAAACTCAGATTCATTTGGAGAAATGGCCGTTTAACCATCTTGAGCATATATTAAGTGAAGTTCTCTTATATATAGTCCATTTGTAGTAAATGGATAAAAGAGATTTGTTTCTTAAAGTTTGATGCGAATTGAGAAAAATGTAATGCACTTCAATATATTTTTAGGAGCAAAAATATTTTAAATCTCATTTAACACATAAATAAAACTAAGCTTTATTAACACGACACATGCAACTAGAATTTGTATTTGGTAAACTTTTCCATGTTTTCTTTCTATCTTATGCTTTATTGTGTGGTTTGCAACTTAGGCCAAGAAACTACTGAGAAGCTTTTCCTCCTAAATATTTCTAAACTGATATGCCTAAATACAATTTGTTTGACTTTGCCTTGGTTCAACTATTTTACTTTTTTTAAGTATCTGCTTTTACTTAATATAAACGTATGCTTTAAAAAAATCTCAAGTACTCTATTTAAAATTGTTCTTAATTTTTACCATAACTACAAGGCTGGGGCTAGCTATTTTTATTACCAATTTGTTTTGTTTGCTCTATATATGACGAGTTAAAAAATTTTCCACTAATTGCTTTTAACTATTGTTCGTAAAAATTAGAAAAATTAAAACACAGGACACAATTAGGACACAAATAAAGTTCTACATTTTTTCAGTTTTTTATTTCGATTATTTTAGGAAAAATACCAGATTTCCAATACTTAGATTCTAAAAGATTCTTTATTACTTTAAAATCCTAGATTGATATATATCTTTGTTTTTGGAAAGAACGTGTAGCTAAATTCTAATCATTTACTTGAAGAATTGATTCTTGGGTTTTTTCTTTTTTTTTAATTTAGTAAATTTTATAAACTCCTGGTAACTCAGTCTTTCCATAGAAACATATTTATTATAAAAAGCAACTTTTTATTTTACGCTATAGCTCACTTGCTCTACTTTTATATCTTTTTCAAAGAATTAAAGTCTCATTTTACTGCTGATGCTAAATCCCCTTCAAATTTACACGTTCATACGGAGAAAAAAGAAGGTATGTTTATTATATTAGAAGGTAATTCACAAAATTTAGAACTTTATTACATGAACTCTTTAATAGTCAGAAAGAGTAGAAATCGTGGAAATACTTGGAATCTAGATCAAGTAGATTCCATTGATTCTTCAGATATTCTTTAACTTTGGTTTATAAATATTGTTTATTGTTATAAAACTAAGCGGTTAGAACATTTTGCAATCACAGATAACAGAAACTTGGCAAATTTTGGTGTTATTTTTAGGTTGTAGAATTTCAAATAACACATATTACTTTTGTGACATTAAAATAGTTTAAAAAACCAGCATTGTTAGAACAAATTTTGTACGCAATACCTTAAACGTAAAGCACATCCAGGTGACTCACTATATTCCTTTCCAAAAATTGTACAGCTCTCTAGGGAAAACTATGGAAGAAAAAAACAAAAATTAATTAAATTTTATTCTTCATTGATAATTTTAATGTCACAACTATGTTAAATCAAATTTGAGAACAATCATTTTGACTACATAGATAACGTATCTTACAAAAAACACTTAGCTTAAACCAACTAGTTTACTGCATAAAGTAAGATTCAAATCTTAGAACATGTTTAAGTTACATTCTTTATGCGGCAATATTTTTGTGAACACACAATATCAAACGTACAACAAATTAAAAAACAAGATAAAAACTTAGAAGGCATAAAGCTTGGGAGCAAAATACTTCCGTGCATAATTTTGATCTTAAGACAATAAACACTGGCATGACAACATATACGCTTGAAACAATTTAGTTCAACAAACTTTTTCATATCTGCATTAGGTTGCACTATTTTTACATGTGAAATATGTGAATCTCCTTGCATGCAGTTGATTTAAAAACTGAACAATTTAGCTTAAGGCAAAATTTGATTATACTTCTTTCTTGCTATGAGTGAGAACGAGTAGCATGAAAAGAATACAAATTCAACATTCAGTATTTAACGCAAACCATATAGGAAGATGCACGAGTGTTATTGTTGTTGTATTACATAGATATATGAAAAGGCATGCTATGCCTTCGCTATCATGATGACGAGTAGAGTTAAAACCTATAACTTCAAGTTAAGATATGTCTTGCTCAGTTTTTTAACTCCAACTCTTCATCAGATACGTCACTACGTAAAAACATGGTATTTTTAAAGTTTGCAGAAATTTTTATAGTATGAAACCTATTCTAATAAGCATATTATTACATTATTTAGTATAGACGTAAATAAAAACTGAGCCAAATTAACAGATAATTTCTTGTGCAGATACACGCACCGACCAAGTGTGTTTTACTTTGTTTTCAGCAGTGAATACGTTTTTCCTGATTTGGTACCAGTTCTCTATAAAACTTATAAGTGGTTTAGTATCTTTGCCCCCCATATAAAGAAACAGGAACATAACGAGTTTAACTGTATGTTGTTTCAGGTAGAGTTCTGACGTTAGGGTTACTAAATTTTGGCAGTCAATACCTCTCTAACATCGCATATTACTTTACGTTTGGCAAAGCTGGCTTATTTTCTGTCTTTTTACGTAGATTCTTTTCCATTCTGAAAAGTATATGCATTATAAGATTCCCTCTAAGAAGAGGCGTAGCTAGAACGTTAATTTTGGGTGCATATTCATATATTCCGTTGTGCCCTACTGTTTTCTTTTAAAAGGGAATTGAATTTTAAAAGAAATCAGAATGGCACAACTGAATATATGATTATACACTCTCCTTACCTTAATTAACGTTCTAGTTATGCCTTTGCCTTTAAGATTCCATAATGATGTCTTTTGATATCGTTGACATGTTGTAACGTTCTATATTTGCCTTGAAAATAGACAAAAAAGTAGTCCTTATTTTTTTACGGGCTGTGTTACTTTGGGTTAGATTTGTAGAATGAGACATTACTTTGTTGGATAAATGCTACCAAATAACCCATGCACATCTTCTTAGCCTTGGTGATTCTAAATATTTTTATTGTCCAATTATATTTATTTTCAAATCTCGCACTTAGTCCAGTGAGTAAGACACTGTAGTAATTACTGCATTTGAGTTTCTATGTGAAATCAGGTATAAAACTCAACATTCTGTAACAATGACTCAACTGTATTTTAGAATCATGACTAGGCAGTGTTATATAAGCATTAAATTTCCAATCCATTTCTTAATGTTGTTGTTTTTTAATTTTCAAACACTATATAGTAAAATTGACAATAAATGACAACTGGGATGCTAGGTATAATTTTCCTAATAATCCTTGAACCTCCGGTTTGCAGACCTTATTTAATGCTATTAGGTTTTTGGAATGCTTTGCAAAAATAGTGGCTTTTAAAAAATAGGGATATTGCCATGGATGATGAGTTTTCCATTGGGTTAATTCTAAATACAGATTGCTGACAAATCAGACTGCTGTACAATAATTTCTACATAGTCAAATGGTTCTAAGAAATGGAAAAAGGAAACAGCAAATATTCTGCAAGGAGTTCATATCTTGTTCCAAAACATTTTATTGTTTAAACGACTATAGACCTATAGCACACCAAGTCAAGTGTAGTAAATTTGTGGAAAGAATAAGTTTCGCTGTAGCATTTTTGCTTTCATGCAAACATTCTGCATTTTTGTTTTCCTATTTCATTCTAATACTTTTATGAAAAATGACATCGTTATGTGCATTTATTTACACACCATCAATTGTAATAAGTATATTTTATACACATTGGTATGCTTAACATGGAGGGGCATGTATTTCTTAATGTAGTATGATTAGAATACGTTTAGTTGTGTGATAAAATCATCAATACGAAGAGTTAAAAGACTCTACAGGTAAAAGACAGGAGTAAAGGCCTGTTCTTTAAAGAGCTAAGGAGTTTTCTCACTGCAAAGTCCATAATGACACTTTAATGCAAACATGAATAATTATTTACATCAAAAAAGCTATAGAGTGAAATCTTAGAGCATGTGCGCCTTGCCTTTTTTATGTTAAAATATTTTTTATCAACTAGCAATCATTATTAAAAATGCGAAGATTAAACAATGTGTAAAAGCTCAAGAGATATAAATCTTGGGGACGAAATATTTCGGTGCATAATTTTGATCCTAATATCGTAAAAAACAGGGATGACAACATTGCCGTGTGAACAATTTATTTTACCAACTTTCCCATCTATGTACTAGGTTGCACTTTATGTTTTATATGCGTGAAATGTGTAAAGGTTATTGATGTTAATTTGAAAACTGAACGAGACTTATCTTAAGTCATAGGTTAATTTTAATTGTTTCTTGTTATGAGTCAGAAACAAAACGGCCATGGGCCAACTTCGAAAATTGTGATTTTTTCATGCGTCATTCGAAGAGCGAAAATATATTTAACCATCATGTTGCTCTAGTAGTACTTATCAACTTGATGATGTATGTCAATTGTTTAACTCGCGCATAAAAAGAAAAATCTATTATTTTATCTTGATTATATGATCAGATCAGAAAAATGTGAAATCAATGTTATGTTTTTACGTCTTCAACGCAAATAGAGTCTTTCTCTCAACCAATTAGATAGCGTTAGGGTGAAAAGTCTTTCACTACTCTTGATAAACAAAGGTGAACAACAAAGCTTGCTGAAGTTGCTCACTCGGATGAGGAGTTTTTTGCGTTATGCATATCAAAAATAGTGCTAAATAAAAATTAACACAAAGAATGATAGCACAGCGCTATAACCAACAACTACAAACAATAACGACCTTTGTGTTTAATAACATTCCAACTATTTAACCTTGTAAAAATTAACATCATTTGCACTTGGCTCCTTGGTCTATCTTTACTTTTTATACTTTTAAATGAAGAAAACTTCCATGTATAATAAGGCGAAATGACGTTGGAATCCGCGTTAAATTCTAGGGATGATTTACGACCTTTACGTTGACAATTTGTCTTTCTCTGAAAATCTTTGCTCTTCAGAGTTCTTGTTTTGTACACATACCGGCGCTCTGCAAATTCCATTACGATTGTTTTCTCACAAGAGAGGGAGAAAACCAAAGCGATCGAGATATTTTAATTTTTACTTTTGGCGACGTGTAATTCATTATACGGGAGATTCATTGGTGCCATGCAGATGAATTTCAAGCCTACATTTCCTTTCGATTTAAGTTTATTACTCAAAATTTACTTCAAATACCACTCAGAATACTAGTGATTCATCGTTGTCTTTTTTGTTTTTATAAGATAAGAAATGAATATTGAATGAATATTTTTTGTCAATGTTGCTTCAACCTAACTAGAGCGACTTGTTATTTCAATATTAAACTATAAGTTTGATAGATGGTTTCTGAAATGTCGTTTTTGCTTTGTTATGTTATGAGATTTGTTGAGCTATGACTGATTTTTTTAAATTTTTTAGTTTGCTGTTTATTAACTTTTTGAATTTTAATTGGGCTGTCATAACCAAAATTCACAGCCGTTTGCAGTGCACATGACATCTTTATTGTAGTTGTGAAACGTCGTTATAGTTGAGCGTTGTGCTAGAACTGTCTTAGTACACTGTACATGTAGTATGACAAGGCTCCAAATCTATATTCGTATTGCAAGTAATGACTCAGCAAAGAAGGCTTGTGGACAGAAATATAGACGACTATAAGGTTCTCAAAGCCATAATTTTACACAGTAGATCAAGACCACACGAGTGACTTAGCATTTTTATTAACAAACCGAAGTAGAGAAATAGACTTGGAACATGGTATTGATGATTTTTGGTTCAGTCAAGAAGAGAAAAAATGCCATTTTTCGTTTGTTCGGTGAAAAAATAGTCTAATAATAGTGAAATAATACTCGCCCTGGTGGCTTGGTGTAACTTCTTTAGTTTTTATCGCAAATGACGTTATACCCGTGTATCTAAATCTGTATAGACAACGCTTAAATAATATCTATTTGTTAAATATAAACTACCTATTGTGTGAAATTCAGCTGGTACCTCAGTAGACGCATGCCGATGTTACTTCAAAACGACTTTTCGC